TTCTATATGGGGATCCATATAGAAATCGTCCAAGGGCCTTCTGGAAGGGTCTTTGGGCTGCTTAAGGACTATGTAACTAGATTAGGGTTTCCTAGTTCAAAACCCTAGAAGCCTAACTATAAAAGGAACTCCTTATGCCTCCAAAACGTCTCTAACCTTCTAAGAGAAACCCTAGGACGTTTTTGGTGCCTCCTCCCTCTCTCCTTGTTCATCTTGTTGCTTATGGTGTTTGTGACTCCATTAGAGGTGCAACACTTGGGGCACTAAGCTTTCAAGAGTCAAGATCAAGAAGGATTGTGATTGTTATTGCTACATAACAATCAAGGTAAAATTTCTAACCCTAATCATATGTGATTTTCAGATTTGTATGCTAGTCAATTAGGGTTTATTGCTTTGGTATTCAATGTTGTATGTTTACTTAGAAAACCTAGATCAAAGCAATTAGGGTTGCATGAACACCATAGGATTGATGTTTTGCACATAACCCAACACTTTATGACTTAAGACGTCCCATAGAGTTAGATCTGGAAATTGGATGATTTGGTCTTTAAGCATTAAGAGCATTAAAGTTGAGTTTGGTCAGTAGGGCAGTACGTCGGGCGTACTGGAGTGGTACGTGGGGCGTACTCGCCAGGGTGCCATATTGGGCTGTTTTTGGACCTTGGGTCATTTGGGTTTTGGGCCAGGAATAATTGGGTCAGGCATGGGAAGGTTAAAATGGTCTTTTACCCTTAGAAGAGAGAATATGATTTGGACCCATAAGTATGGATTACTACACTAATTTTTAATTGGGGATGGTTTTGGATATGTTCAGTGTGTGGAGCTTTTTGTAGCAGCAACATGTATGTGGGGTTATCTATCAGCAGATCGAGGTGACTCTTCTCAACTGTGCTTGTGGGTCGAAGGCACCAATGCCAGCTCACTAAATTATCTATGTAGTATGCTACCTGTCTTTGTGACTCTTGCATGTTGTATGGGCCTGTGTGGTAGTATATATCTGTTGACTAGTTGGGTCTTAATTGTTGTTACTGTGATATGTGTTACTTTGTGTACTGAGGCTTCAATTAGTCTCCAGGGTTGCTGATAACCCACTGGGTGTGCTGTTTGACCACTAAGACTTCGAGTAGTCTCCATGGTTGCTGATAACCCACCGGGTGTGCTGTTTGCCCACTAAGAATTCGGGTAGTCTCCAGGGTTGCTGATAACCCATAATTGTTATATGAGTTGTGTTGTATATGGTACTCTGGGGAAAACTCACTAATCTTTGTGCTTTCATTTTGTGGTTTAAATGTTTTCAGGTTTTCTTATATTAAAGGAAGGACACGGCTCGATTGCATCGCATCCGTGGGAGATTTCTGCACATGTTAAATTTTGATGATACTCTTATAAATGTTTTGAGTTAAATAGTTTATCTAAGTTCTTGTAAATTGTGAATGGAATAATTACTAATTTTTTTAAAAACATTTGGGTTGAATTTCGGGTCGTTACATATTATAACATTATTTTAGTGTCACCTCACATGTTATAACACCTACTAATTAATTTCCATGTCATAATTTATTTTTATTTTTATTTTTGATTTATTTTTTAATTTTTATAAAAACAAATGTAATTTAATAAAACATGTTATTTAAATTAAACATGACATTTAAAAACTAAAAAAACCATTCCAAGAAAGAAAGAATAACATTTAAAAACTAAAAATAACATTACAAGAAAAAAATATGATAGTACTAATATAAAAACATAAAAAGATAGTCCTAATTGCCCAAATAAGTGTTTCAGATCTTCTCCTTCATCGCTCGAAGCACATCCAAATCTCAGGGTGACAAACCTTCCTCTCTAGCCCGGAGAATTGTTAATTGGTTCGTCATTTGTTCTTGCTTGCAAGTCTCCTCTTCTCGTGCTTTCCTATGAAGGAATTCCAAGTGCTCATGTTACTTCAACTCTTTCTTTTTCTGTTAAATTGTGGTTGTCGAACTTCACTTTCAATTCCACCAATTCTTGTGCCTTTTTTTTAGCTTCGTCCGCATATCGTTGAGCGCACTTCGCTTTGTTGCGTCCTACCGGTCGTCGTGGCGGGGAGATTTCTTCGACGTCGTCCAGGATCTCATAAACGTTGGCATTGAGGTCGAGGTTAGTTCGTATGCCGGAAACGTCGAACGAACTCGAATTTCGTGACCTCTTCGATTGTGCCTCCTATGATGTTGGAGTTTTAAGCCATTTTGGATCATTTCTCACCATCTCCCATACTTTTTCATACTAAAAAATATGACCCATTTCGACACGATGTTTCTCTTTTGCGGCTTTGAACAAATCAAAATCATTTGCACCACTTTGCTTTTGGGGAAACAAGTATGTTGTCGATCCCATTGAATTCGGTGCAGCTACGATTCATTGGAGTCTACTTGCTACTAAGCGTATCAGTATTGTGATATGGAGTTCTATTCATAATAGCACGAAATCTTACGAGCACGGGCGTCGGAATGGATTGATTGTCTCGGTTTGATATGTTTATATGAATATATGGATATGCTTGGATAGGGTTCTGCTATTCAGAAATAGAAAATCTATTTCAACAGAAGAAGATTGAGATCAACTCAAATCTTAAACACTCAAACTTAGCTTATTTATATCATTTCCTTGACGTTCATTTTTTGAAGTTCCGCACCACTTGACCACCATAGCGTACTCTTCATCCGGTGTCCACCATAGTGGAGGTTCTTCATTTTCCGCGACCGCTTTCCCTTTACCTTTGCATTTTCCTTTACCTCTCCCTCTTCGACTAGCCCCCCCTCCCTCCGGTTGCTATCTTCCGATAGTTATGTGGGTGGTGGATGGGTGGCTCTTTGTGGCATAAAAGAAAAAGTATTGAAAATGTTTTGTTGTAGATTTGGGTTATGGCCAACAAGATTTTGTTGAATGTAGGGTGATAAACGAAATTGCATTAGGGTGAGGTGAGATTAAAATAGCTTCTTTGGAATGATATTTATGATGAGGTTTGAGAGTTGAGTAGGTTCATGTAGCTCTCATATTGTGCGAATCCGATGAGAGTGGTTGTGGTTTTTTGTTTGGTGAATGAGTGTTTATGTTTTGCTCCATAATTTGGTTGAAAAAAGAATTGATTTATGTAAATATTAAGAGAAAGAAAAGAATGATGTAGGTAAAATATTGTCTAAATTATGTATTTATAAGTAAAATTTAATAGGTAATTTTTTTTTAAATATGATTGTTCGTCAACGGTCATTTGACCGTTCAAAAGCGAAAACAACTCATTGTTCCCCATTATTGTCGTAACGCACCTCACCTTAACGCCGAGGGAGGGGGTGTTCATCAGGTGGTAACGGTGTTGAGTCGTATCCACCTCGGCAATAACGGCTGATAACGGGCCCATACCCATCTCTCTTGATCGTAGATTTACTTGAAATTAAACCGAACAATAGGTGTCGTACTTGATCATCATACCTTAAAATTAAATGTTGTTGCTTTCATTCTATAAGGTCATATAAAGGTTTAGGTGCTGTAATATTTACTTTCATACCTTGAAATCCAATAGATCAACGATCAAAGAAAACAACACCACCATAACAATGTATAAGACACCATTGTTAAGATTTCAAGCAATACAAAGGAAATTGTATAAGTCACCGTTGTTAAGATTTCAAGCAATACAAACGAAATTGTGTCATGCTTAAGAGTTTATTGTCCCTTTATTTTGTTTCTATAAATAATTATGAATTTGTCTAACTACAATCTGATCATATTTAAAAGATTAACGACTAAAATATTAGTCTTACGGACTAACCATGCAAAAAAATCAAAGCATAAGGATCGATGATGCTAAATTTTCAAAACTCAGAATAAATTGCGAAATTAACAAAATCTCAGGGACCATATCTGTAGTTTAGTCTTAAATAAAATTGGCAGTAGGAGACTATGAGGTAGCTACTAGGTGTGTAGGTCTTTAAGTGAGGGTGTTTTTTTCTGAATGGAATTGAATAAAAAGTGTTGTGTCAGTTTGGTCTTTGTCCATCTTCATAATGGAGTCTCTGTCAGAGTATGAATGGTTGAGAACCCGATCCATCTTCTTCTACTTCTTTTGTCGTTTACTCTTTTCATTTTCATTTTCTTCACTTTTAATTTTGGAAAAATATTATGTTATCATCAATTAACTCTAATTCTTTAAATAATTGGACACTGGAAAGTACTATACTTTGAAACAGTATAAGAAAAATAGTACTTTGACCTTGATTTACCCCACATCGGTCTGTAAAGATCATATTAAAAAACTATAATTGCAGTAAATCATGAAAAAACACTTACTTTATTTATCTGTATAGAAAAAAATCTCATATTAATTTCAAGAAATATATATTATAATATTAAAAAGGTCTGTGTTTTGACTGATGAAGTAATTTTATTCATGTTTGAAGCTATTGTGGCTACTAATATAAAGTTTGTGGGAAGCAATCTATTCATCATTCAGGGCTTTCTCTTCCTCTGCTCTCACCTCTCTTGGCTTCTCTTTGGCAAAGATTTCAGCTTCACCATTCATATCAGGTACACTTTCTTTTCCTTTTCTCCTCATCTAAACAAAATTACCATAAAAGCAAAAACTGTAAAAAAATTATAACTAATTAGAGTCTGACACATGTGATAAGGGTAAAAATTTGCACTATCATTTTTGGTTTGTTTATTTCTCAGATCTCATTGTGGATTTTAATTAGGTTTCAACCTACACCAGACAAAAATGAAGTTAATGAACCTCTATTTTCCTATCTAAGTCAAGTCATGGATGGTTTCTTTTTAAATTAACCACTCATCAAATGTCTCTCTTTAGTAAATCTGTTAAAAACTATAATTAAAATATTGTATTCAAATTTTATACTTCAAAGCAAATCGAATATATAAATCATTATAATGTATCAATCATATGCATGCTGCATGCATACGCAAGAGTTGATTCGATCCATTCAAAGACTCGTATAATAATCAATTAATTGTTAGCAACATTCATATAAAATTATTTGTGACAAAAGACATTATGTATAATTAGATCAAAAGTGATGGACAATATGGTAGTTCTAATATCCAGTCATTATTATGAGTTTATTTATTGTTAACAATAGGAAAAGTTTTAAACCTTTAAGGGTTTTTTTTTTTTTTTTTTTTTTTTTTTTCTGAATCATAAAGTTCAGGGGTGAAGGTTGCAACTTTCAGGTTTTATTTCACCAATGATGGAGTTTTCGTCATCATCAAAACGGGCTAAAACTCCGGCCGCCAGCAATAATATTAGTGTTTCGTGTTTAGTCGACGGGTGCAACGCTGACCTTGGTCAATGCCGGGAGTACCACCGCCGGCACAAAGTATGTGAACTCCACTCCAAGTCTCCAAAGGTCACAATTGCAGGGAGGGAGCAGCGCTTCTGTCAGCAGTGCAGCAGGTACAATTCTTCATAAAGCGCATACATTCAATTAAACTATAGCCATGCTTACTTTTTCTCAAGATATATACCACTGTAAAAGAAAATATATTATGGGGTGTGTATAAACAACCCCATTAATTATAGCTAGCTATCAACTCACAAAATGCTTTAACATGTATCATATCACTGGTGATGGTGATGAACAGGTTTCACTCATTGGCAGAGTTTGACGAAGGAAAACGAAGCTGCCGGAAACGTCTTGATGGTCATAACCGGCGACGCCGGAAGCCTCAATCAGATTCCATATCCAAAACAACGGCAACTTTCCTTTCAAGCCAACAAGGTTTTCTTCTTTCTTATCTTATAATCCAAACGCGACTTAACAGTTCCTGTCTCATGCTTAAGACAATGACGTTAATAATTAGTCATTTGAGAGAGTTTAAGATCTTATAGAAAAATTCTGTGAAAATCATTTTACTTTTCATGATTCATATTAAGACTTTATACAACTAAATAGTAGTTATAAAAATGGGAGATAAATATATTGTTGCGATGGACTAACCCAAATCCAAGACAATGAGAATGAGTACATTCAATAATAATAGAACAATATTCTTTCTGAAATTCATGTTCCTGAGTTTAGACCAAAATTCTTCGACAGTACAATGATCCAAACGAGTTTTACAGGCCCATCGGGCCAGACTTCACATGGGCCAAGGTGTTGGTTGTTTAAGGTTGCAACCGAAAAACTAACTTGGCTTTCTTCTGTTTCTTTATTGTAGGCATGTCTAGAATATTGTCATTCAACAGCACACAAATACACTTAAGTTCTGTAGTGGGCTCCGCTAGGACGACAGGAATCAGACCGGATAACCACACAATCGGACCATTCAACAACCAACCGCCGTTAAACTACCTTACCAGATCACTACCAACTCCATCTGCACACAACGGTGGTGTCGGTGGAGACAACCACTTCAACTTTTTCCAACACCGTTCACTGCCGCTACCAGTTTCTTCAACTCAACTAAATAGAGGCGCCGGCCACTCTCGTGCTCTCTCTCTTCTGTCATCATCACCGCCAGCCCATCAAACTCCGGCAATCATGCCACCAATTTCTAATGGTATCAGTCAGTATGGTTTTGCACAACTAGAGATGCATAATGAAACAATGCTTACAGAATCCAGTGGTACAACTCTTCAGTTTCAAGGCATGTTTAACGATGATCATGGTGACTCGTCTTCGAGTGGGATTAAACAACAAACGCTGTCGTTTAGGTGGGACTAGTAGGTGGTAAGTGTCAAAGTGTGGTATTTCTATTTCAAGGAAATATTTGTGTGCTTGTATGTGTGAGGCTTGTAGTAGTATTTCTCATGTAATGTGGAATTGGTAGACCACTTGGCTCTTCAAAATAATGAATGGAGATATGATTCTTGTAATGTTCTTAATTCGGTACTAGTTATCGAGCATTCAAGTCCTCCACAAAAAGTTTAATGGATTGACATATCATCATCTTATTTATTATAGAACTCTATATTAATTTTCCTACTATGCATTGAACTCAATAGAGTTCAATAGAATATATATTTAATAGTTAAAAGGTTTCTTTTTTTTCAATTTGAAAAATTCAATGGTCATTGAACTTCATATTCATTGAATGTCAACATGGCATCCCATAATAGTAGAGTTTAATCTATTGAATGTCAATTAGGCATGTCACCTCATTCAACTCTCTCGTTGAATTATGCATTGTGGATATAATTTAATCTGGGAAGTTATAACAAGTGTTTCTATTTTTTTCCGAAAATACAACTCAATCGAAAAAGTCAAAGAAATAAAGATTTTCATGTTATTCTTATTTGTTTACTTTTTACAAATTTTGCTCAAGGTTTTTCATATATCATTTTTTATTATTTTTTTCTTTTTTATAATTTTTTCTAATCTGTTTTCAAATTTCTATCTCCCAAGTTTGTCATTGTTAGTACGTGTATTATGTATTTAGTCCATGTTATATGTTTTTGTATCGGCTTAAGGCTCAATGCTTATATTTATACTTGTATGATTTTTATTGAGAGACCATTGAAATGACCATATTCCATAATTCGGTTCCAAAAAATAACTTCTAAAATTTCTCTTTTACCCTTTCTCTCCTATCTTCTTTCGACAACCATCCCCTCATTGAAACCCTACTTCCGCACACGGATAACTCGTCATTGCTAACAATTTTGCATACCGGTAATCCTGACTCCTCTCGCATAGGAACTATCGTTGGAACAACCGATGACCACCCAAAAATTGTCGTCGAAAACAACAAAATAGTGGGAGATAGTTGCCCCATCAACATCACTAGCACTATGGCTAGATTTTTATGTCTCCATCAAACCATCAACAACAACACAATGCTGCATCTGAATAGCCACCACTTCAGTTGTCCAATCAACAACCAAGGTCAAATGTTTCGGTTCGCAACCTAACTCCTCACTAGCAGAACCACAACTCACATGCGGCCCACTAAGGGTGTATATGGGGTAGCTTGGTTCAGTTTTTAGCCAAAACCAAACTATTACCATTGTAAGTGGTTAATGCATTTTGGTAGCTATTGGTTAATGGTTAATATTGGTTTTATTTAACGTTTTTTTTCAGTTAATGGTTATGGTTATGGTTAATGGTTAATATTGGTTAATCATAATAGTCGAAAATGAGATAAAAAAAATAATTTGCTATAAAAATTGAAAAAATGTAAAGTACATCGTTATAAAATGTGAACGATTCATTGTTTATACCTAGATTGTGATATGAAATTATCACTGTCAGTTTGGAAACTTGCATCCACATATCCTTCAACACTTAGTTCTTCCTTGCCACTATAAATCAAGAACATATCTTTAGTCCGCCTAAGACACTTCAGAATGTTCTTGATTGTGGTCCAATGACTTTTGCCTGGATTGGCTTGATAACGATTCTTCATAGTGTATGAGACATCTGGCCTTGTACATATCATGGAGTACATGATAGATCCTATAGTCGAGGCATATGGGAATCAACTCATTCTGTCCAGTTCTTTAGTCGTAATGGGACATTGGGTTTTACTCAAAACCATGCCACGTTGCATAGGTACAAATCCCTTCTTAGATTCTTCCATCCTGAATTTCTTCAATATTTTATCTAAGTATGTATTTTGGCAAAGTCATATTAGTTGCCTAGATCTATCCCTATAGATCTTGATACCAAGTATGTAGGCAGATTCTCCCAAGTCTTTCATGGGGAAACTCTTCCCAATCCACGCTTTTACACTATTCAGTGTTAGGATGTTGTTTCCTATTAGAAGAATATCATCGACATATAAGAAAAGGAATACAACTACGCTCCCACTAGATCTAACATACACACAGTGTTCATCTTCATTTTTCAAGAAACCAAACTTTTTGATCTTCTCATCAAAACAGATGTTCCACCTGCGAGGTGCTTGTTTGAGTCCATAGATAGACTTTTCAAGATTACATGCCATATTAGGAGACTTGGACTATACAAAACCTTCTGGCTGAGCCATGTATACATCTCCAGTCAGTTTCCAATTAAGGAAATCAATTTTTACATCCATCTTTCATATTTCATAGTCATGAAATGCAACTATGACAAGTAGTATCCTAGTAGACTTAATCATAGCTACTGGTGAGAATGTTTCCTCATAATCAAATCCTTGAGACTGAGTATAACCTTTCGCGACCAGTCTAGCGTTATAAGTATGTACATTCCCATCCATGTCGGTCTTCTTCTTAAAGACCCATCTACAACCAATGGTTTTAAGACCAGGTGTAGGATCAACCAAGTTTCATACTTTGTTAAAATACATGGACTAAATCTCATTGTCCATTTCCTTTTTCCATTTTGCAGCCTCTGGGCTCGCTATCGCTTCCTGATAGATGCACGACTCATCATCGTCTAACAGGTTGTCATCCTCATGAGTAATATGTAATCTATAGAACTCTGGTGGACGATATTGCCTATCATATCTCTGAGGTGGAAGTGGAAGTATATTAAATTCCTCAACAAGTTGTTCAACATCTTGTTGTGTTATAGTGTTAACTTCAGGTTCTTCATTGGTTGACTCTTAAATCTCATCAAGATCAATTGGGCTCTCACTAGTTTCTTGAGATATTAGTTCTCTCTCACGAAAGACTGCCCTACGAGCAACACAAATCTTGTTCTCAGTAGGCTTGTAAAACAAGTATCTAAAAGAATCTTTGGGATAACCAGTGAAGTAACACCTTTATGATATGGGTTCAAGTTTATCGAGCGCTTCTCGATGAACGAAATCCTTACAACCCTAAACCTTGATTCGTGCTAGTGAGAGACGGGGCCCTTTCCTCATTTCGAATATAAGTGGTACAAGGTTTAGAATATAAGTGGTTGTTTCTAGGGCATAACCCCAGAAACTAACTGGAAGTATAGCACGATTCATCATAGAACGGACCATGTCAAGCAATGTTCGATTTTTTCTCTCAGACACACCGTTGTGTTGTGGTGTTCTTTATGGAACTAATTGTGATATTATCCTACAATTTCTAAGATGATAATAGAATTCATCGCTAAGATACTCTCAGCCCTTATCAGAATGAAGTATCTTGATTTTCTTGCTCAGATGGTTCTCTACATCTCTCTAGAATTTCTTGAATACTTCAAATGTCTCAACTTATGTTTTATCAGATAAACATATTCATATCTACTGAAATCATCAGTAAATGTGACAAAGTATCTCTCACCATGTCTAGTGATGTGTCTGAACGGACCACATACATACGAATGGATTATGTACAACATATATGTTCCTCTTTCAAAGTTGTCCATGAAAGGAGAGTTAGTTGTCTTCCCAGGTAAACAAGATTCACAATCTCCACTAAACTCTAAGTTAAATGGTTCCAAGATTCCATCTGATTGGAGCTTGGCGATTCTCTTCTTGTTTATATAGCCAAGACGACAATATCATAGACTTAATTTATCCAAAGTAGTTAAGGTAAGATTCAAGATTAAGTTATCTTTTCTACGTATACCAATCTCAGATTCATATATTCCATTGCAAGGATTTGCTTTAAAATAAAGAGCATTATCTTTGTAAACCAAAATAGTAGCATTATCATAATCAAATCCAAATGTAAAACCATCATGTGACAACACATAAGAAGAAATAATGTTTCTTTCCATGTAAGACGAATAGCAACAATCTTTTAAAACAACTGAAAAACAAGAAGGTAAAGAAAGCCCATAATCTCCAATCTTGGTAACAGCTTGTGACAACCCAAAAAACACGTCATCAAATGCCGTTAGAACTTAACGAAAAACATGAAAATGTAATACGACAACAATGTAACCATTCAACATTTATAAGTAAATATATTCGATTTTGTTCTTAATTACGTCAACATTTAGGCTCAAAATATAGTGCGCGAAAAATCGTTTCACCGTGAGAGCAAGTTTACATATTTAGAATATATGTGTTACCGTGATTTTAAAAATATAAACTTCGTAAAAATTCGGCTTACTATGAAAGAGATATTATTTTTATAGAAACTAAAAATCTACCGCGCATAAGAAATTACAACGTCAAAAACTACGTAGAAAACGGTTGACCATTGGCAAAAGTCACCAAAAGGAGAAACGTAGTCCTACTCAAAGTAGAAATTTTGAGACAAAGAACGCCTACAACAGAAGCCGTATAAGAGAGTGATGACTTTAATAAAATCATAATGGTTATAAAATATAGTCGAAAAACGAAAGGTAAAACTAGCCAAAATGACCAAAAGGAAAATGGTAGTTTACGTCGAGACCTACATGGATATATAAAATTCGTTAAAAATGGAGTTTGTATGTGAGAGTTACAACATTTCAAAGTTTGATTTTTACCGAGGCGTGCACCCGCGCGCACCTGACACTCGATTTGTCTGGATATGGGATGACATGGCACAAGGAGAGGACGACACGTGGCATCCTCCTGTGGCTCACGCGCAATTGCACGACATGCATTGTGCGATGTGCACCTCAAAAATGGCTATAACAAGTAGACTCTGGCAGTCTCATTCCTCACACTCAAGCACTATCTCAAACTCTCTCAATCTACATGCCACTGCCCCCGAGCATCTCTCGAAGTTTCAGACTCCCGGTTTTCTTCCCTACATCAGCGGTCTAACATTTTCAGGTGAGTTCACGGCCCCATTTCTAAATGTTTTCAGCGGGAATACATGTTAAAATACACATATTTCATAGTTATTACTAATTGAATAATATTAGTTAGATAATTATGCCCATAACATTAGGATGATATTATACCTAGTAGATAATCTGCCCAACTTTTAAAGATAATATTATGCCTAGTTGTTATACCGACTCACATCTATAGAAAGCATCATACCTAGTTGTTACGCTGGCC